TTTTTTGTAAAGAGGAGTTTCACTAAGAAATAAGTTTTGTGAGAAAAAAACTAACAGGCGTAGCACTCTAAAGCTAAAAAGTAATTCAGTTTATTTCATAGGCCATTTAAAAACTGGCGAGAGAAAGAAAAACACTTTAAACTCATACAAAATTGCAGAGAAAAAGACTACGATTTAATGTAAAAAATCAGGATTTTGGTGTTATCCAGGTAATGGCGTCCATTGTTCCCATCGAACAACGTCTTCCTGGTCAAATTAACTTTTAAGATGGTCTACAAATCCAGGGTAATCCGATTTGACAAGATGACTGATATGCGATGCCTCCAAATAAATGGACAATTAAAGAGATTAATCTAAATATATATAAATGGCTTTCACACTACAAATCATTTTATAGATTTTGAGATATTTTGAACACTTACAGAATGTGATTTCCGGTTTTTAATAATCATTCTGTACATGGTTCTCGTCTGTTCTGAAATATTTGAGSATTTAATCTTACTACAAAAGATTTATGGGTAGTCGAAAGCTCGAAATGGATGATGGATAACTTTGCAACCGCTGAAAAAGTGTACAATTTGCAACCCGCGAAGCCTCTTGCGGTCTGTACTTTAACACGGAAAAAAACAATCCGACAAGAAAGGCACCGGATGTTTTCACCCGGTGTCTGAAATACTTTAAAATATGGCCCCTTGCTCGATCTATATTACTTCGTAACACAATATTTAAAAAGTTCGCTTCTTGTTTACAAAACAAAACTATCAAGAAATGATAATAACCACGATATATWAGTAAACAACGGAGTAGTATACAATAATAATAGGACAAGTACGAGAATGTTATCGACTTCCAGGTCAATAGTCGACCAAAACAATATGAAYCAGTGGGAATTTGCACGAACAAATCACGTGATCTTACTCTGTAAGTAACAACATGGACTTCTGAGAAAATAAACATGAATTGTGTAAGTAAGATGTGCATACAGYAAGGACATATTGTCAAAGAGTACTTTCGAAACGTTTTTGCGCCCAAGACGAAAATAAGCAAGTTTTCAATCAGTTATACAGCTAGATTTCATAGTTAAAAGTTTTGCAACGAGTTTTCAGGTCGGGCTAAACTAAGATGCGCTAAATGTCTCCTTATTGTTTTTTAATATAGACACATCGAATAAAAATTGACTTAGATTGATTCAGTAGCGAGGTTCTTGTTTGCGTTAGTTCCCACCATCAAAACTAAGCCGTTCTATTTCGAGATGTTTATAAAAACCCAACGTGAAACCCAATATTCGTTAACCAATAATAACTTCAAGACTGAGATAAAGGTGCAGGTCGTCATTTCAAGCTGCGCAAAAACAACTAATGTTCTTTGATATAAAAGTTTTCTGTTTTAAAAGAACCGCATTTACTAAAGACAGCCTTAGTTGCAAGTAATATAACAAACGAAAAAATAGACGTAAAAGTTTTAGAAGTTGATTTACAACTTTTGTTTGTTATAAAACCACTTGAGGAGCTTGGATTGTAACTGATAAGGTGCATTATAAACAGATTATAATTTTCAGTTTATTTTATATTAAATGATTTAAGAAAATCCAATTACAAGTAACTTTTTTATTGTGTTAATTATGTTGCTGTTGAAAGAGACTAAATACCAAGGGCAGAACTTCATCAAAGATTTAATTAAAACATGTTTATTAATTCTCTGTGATCCTGTGCTAGCGGAGGGTCATGTTGAAAGTGCATCCTCCACTTTTAATAAATTTTTSATYGATAGAATATCCCGTATATAAGGCCGTAAACCCGTGAAAAAAGTGTGCCATTTTAACCATTTCACAGGTTTGCTGAAATCACAGTGAGTGTTATTAATAATGCAAACTGCTACAACTGTCGATTGCTTTTTGAAGGACGATTTCTCCATTAATCCATAAACAACGAAGGGTCCCTCGCCGCTAACAAGCCGCTGACAGGTTTTCTTCCTTGTCAATTAAAATAAGCCGCAAATCYTCGCAATAATCTCTTTCAAACAAGGAATTAAACACAGCGCCCAAGGCCCTTGAGAACCCAGGAGGCACGTCGCAAAAACTGGTGTTATAATTCACAAAACATCTCACTTCATAATCGGTAACTTTTTGAAGCTACGCCTCAGTCAGGCCTTGTTTTATTTGCCGACGAGGGCGGGGTTAGGGTGGATCGTCTAGAAGTTTAATAACCGTTCATACCTGGTTAGGAACATATTGTTATCCAGGATTAAATCATAGCGGGATTAACAGGATTATGTACGAAGTAGGGAGGGATGGTGTGAAGTATGTCTGAGAAGTGACGGTTGGCGATACCAGAAAAACCCATCAGCACATAATAATATTCTTGTAGCTTTTGATTTTTATGGTTATTTCGCCATTGAAATTAAAGGCCTGTTTCAAACTGCGCATCTTACATGTGTTGAAGTCAATGTCAAATGARYCGGTGGCGCCTTTTGCGTTGTCGTCGGTAAGAMATGATATTCAAAACATGCCTTGGATAGYATTCTTGTCAGTTGACGGATTCTGGAATAAATTAGTTTAAATAGATGCGAGTAAAAGGATTAAAACATTGTCCAAGTGTGTACATCATGTGAACATAACGATTGCAATACAACAAATAAAACCAGCAAATAAACCTTATCCTTATCCATAGAATATTCAAAAGTTTCCATTTTACAGCAAAGTGCGTCCGAGATTTATAGGACAAGCGGTCCAGATTAGGACCATCTAAATCTGTTTTAACTTAAATAGGGTTACAATAGCCTCTCTTGTGACAGGACGATCCAGACTAATAAACTAACATGTCCTTCACAAGCATAAAATCACTTGGAAATAATTCAAAACACTCTTTGTTCCTTGGGGAACGGTACAAACATCTTACGACATAGACTGGGAATGCGTTTGTCGATGGGAAATTGAGGCGTAAAGATTCATTTCTTAAGCACGTGTCTCGCGATAAGGACGTTGTGGATGAGTCATAGTGTAAGCCTGTTTTCGTCCAAGATTGTCCAAGGCGAGCGACTTCTAGAACGGATTAGAAACGCGAGACTTTCACAAGACAAAACTGTATTTTCATCCCGCGTCGATTTGCATCACAAAAATCAAAAACACCGATATCATACGATATTCATTTGATATATTCTTCTATATATTCCCTTTTTACAGAATATTATTTTTTAGTGTGTTTTCTCGAACATCCTGAACTTAGGTTGCGTCAAGGGTACCTCATATACTACACAGGATAGAGTATAAATGTAAATATACTACAGTTCGCACATGATGCGTGATAACCTTCTATTTTTGGACTTAAATCGAAACAACTATAAACATTTAGAGTACAAAAATTCTTGGATGTTTCCATAAAACTATGTGAATTCCTCAGTCAAGCACGATTAAATTTTTTATTACACTGTTGATATGTTCTGTCAGTGAAGAAATGTCATTTGCAAAGCGTCGAACACTCTCAAGACGACAAAAACCTAGTACTACTAAGTATGGGGCCTGGAGTCAAGCCTCCAATTAGCAAATCTTAAACTCAATTAAGGAAAGGAAAGAAACACTTCACGTTCAAAAACTAACAGGATATCAGTGTAAACTGCATAATCCAAGGAATCCACATGTGAAATAATTCAAGCGAGTATAATTGCACGACACTATCACTGTGCTAGCAAAGAAATGCAATATTCCTCAACTGGTGCGAGGTTCACGAGGTCATATGCGACATAAAAGCGGTTGCCTATCCTTAGCAGAAGGATTGGTCACAAGATTGGCAGGTCCTTCAAGAGCAACGCTTTTATAATTATCAATTTTAGAACCGAGCTGAAACTCTTTGTTCAAACTATTGTTCTCTGAGATGCTCAATTATTATATGCATGTATACCTAAGCTTCAGTAGTCATTATTCTTTCATCTCACCAAGAAAATAACCTCACGAAAGGCCTCTTTCCTTTGTTTGTGGAACTCTCCAACGTTTCGCTAATAGACAGGGCTTGAAAACACTAAACAGTTTGCACAAATAAGAATTTGAAATATTCTTTGCTCATTTCGAGGACGAACACACCTGGGTTTCGGACTAACAATTTGCCTGGAGGGACTACCACATGGGCTGACTATGACTATAGCCCTCGGGGATAAAACGAAACCTTATCTAATCCTTGAATCTTAATAGAAAAATGATTTTCACTTCAATATCACAAAAAAATGAAAAAACCAAAATGATTAAAACATTTAACATGTTGCAAATGTGCTTAAGGCTGTATAGAATGGTTTTTGGCTTTAATATTCTAGAGCTGAAGTCTTTTGTTGTAGGTTTCTTAAGTTCACACGGATTACACATTTTCAGATGCTGTAAAAACTTAATTCCTCAAGAAAGAAAAGAAATAGAAAGCAAAAACAAAAGAATAACGAAAATAAATCAATTAAAACGCGTCTAGTTTTGTTTGGATGACAAATATCCTTATTATAGCGGTCTCTTAGCTTTTTATATAGAATAGCGTCACTGCTTCTACTGGTTACGCGTTTTGCACGGATCGCTTGAAATTTTCCAATGGCCGATATCGGTATCCAGCCCTTTCTAGCTTTCATTGGACTCTACCTGTTTGTATTGCCTCTGGGTAAAAACTAGCACCCGTGAAACATTTTTTTCTATCATTCCTTCATGTTTCTTAGCAGGCAGAGTGTAAAATAATATATATAACGTTAAATTGTACTATTTGTGACCGTGAAATAGATGTCCTTATGCACCTTAGTAGTCGCTAATTCCATATTTTTTTGTATCTACTGCAAATTGATATTTATCTATGCTTCACGGTCTATTATATTCAATCTATTTTATAATAGTATTTTGCTTGTTATAAAGCTATTACAGTATTTTTTCGTGACAGAGCCCCAGCCATAGGAAGTGACGGATGTTATTCTGGTGTCTGATATTCGATAGGTTACTGATGAAAACCGTCCATCAGGCTATCAGTGAATATTTTCTGTGCTCTTCTCCGGAAACCTAAGACTTTATAAAAAGCGAGTGTCGCGTTACTGAATCATCAAGCAGGCTGGCAATCAAGACAAAACATACGACTCGCTGAAAGGTCGTTCTGCATTCTATCGCATTTAATAGACTTCGAATTATTGCGGCGATATGGCCTGCTAGTTTACTACCGATCACGTGATCACTGGCGGTGATGTGTTCAACATTAACCACGCCGGCCTGAAATAAACTTAATCGCAGATGAAATCGATATCGTTCATAAGTACAACACTAAGTTAAGAATCACTTGAAATTTCGTCTTGATGTGGTCAGCTTCCAGGGTCGATCAGCTCAAATTCCTCCGTCCTCTGGAATGTACATCGTATCAAGTCTAACTGTCAATTAAGTTGCCTCGCTTTCGTATAACTACACCGCGCCGACACCAGAGACACGCAGTCTACGTTTTTCAACCAAATTCACGGGACAAAATACGACGACTTCTTTACGCCCAAACTCTCCAAAACAACACAAGTAATCGTAAAACATCGTTTGAATTCGATTGAGGTAAGAAAGAGTAACGAAATCCAGCTATCGAAACACGTAAATMAGCAGCTAAATTTAACACGGGGCAGGGTTTGTTGTTGAGATAATATGGCAGCAAAGACCTTCAGGTAGTCAGTTGTAAGAYGATCACGGGGGTTTCAAACTAAATACACGAAGAGAAATCACTTTAAGAGCRATAGTGTATGTAAATCTACGTGAGTGAACACACAAGGTCGTCGACTGAGTTGTTTGCATACGGATAGCTTGCTAGCAGCGGGTTCCAAGGATTTCTTGCCGCCTKAGATAACCTAACGACCGGATACTGTGATCGATAAAGATTCCTTGATATTATTGGTACAAATGAACTATAACGTGATCAACAAACGTACATAAATGTGTTAACCAATTAACCAGTTGGGTTTTTTAAATTAATAAGTCCTTACAATACTTGATCTAACGGCTCGTACATAATACATGAATGATGAATATCAAACTCGTGCCGATAAGAATGAACGATCAAGAGCGATCAAGTGTTCGAATCGGTAGCCTTGTTGTAGGATATATCATGAAGGCAATCGAGGCATTGTGGAGTTAATCAAGCGTTTAGATTATCAAGGGATCTTGAGTTAATGAAGTCTGTACCCAACACTCGACTCGCACAAAAAAMCATCACCGGAAATGACATGTTTGAAGTCATTGTAATGAACTGTCAGTGGTAATGGAGGTCGTCTTTATCTAAAAGTATCTGTACCGTAACATCATATACACGATACAATCATGTCATGAAATGCGTTACGTACAAATATTGAGTTTAATTTGCTCCAATTTTGGTTCATACATTAGTTAACAATGCTTGTACGTGGTTGGTTGATGATTAAACACTAAGGCAGATTGTTTATGGATTTTCAACCTACTCCCTCCCAAAAGTCAAATCCATATCTGATTGGCTAAGTATTATTACGCCATAAATCTTAATTGGTCGGCATGGGAACTACCAATCTGTCAATCACAGAGTTAAGAGTATCGAAGAACAGTGGGGAGGGGTGATAATTCGATTTTGATATTTTAACTCGAATAAAAGCCCCTTGCAAAGCATTACTGTGAAGAAATAGTTCATGTTGTGATGCAGCTCTGTGGTTAGTACTGYGACACAAGTCACACAGATTAAATCCATACAAGACCACACTTCAATGTACGGTTTTTTTGAAATTGTCAATTAAGACTTTTTCTTTCTTTACAGTGAGTAAAGTATAAAGAAATTGGAAAGCCCAACCAATTGATTTTCCTGAAGAGCTATCGAGCGATGTGATTGGTTRTCTTAGCCCGCCGGCAAGTTCCAAAGAATTCGACTATGTATGCATCTCGGGATCTCGGCTTCACTGACGAACCCGCGCCACGGACAGACGAAACACATGACCAGAAGCTATACCGTAGTCATATAGGAGAGTCTGAYAGCAAGACATATAATAATCTTCAACCATTGCAGACAAGTCAACCTTCTTTCTCTGTCAGTCACGCGACTACAGATWCAACATTTATTAATTACGAATTTATGGAGCCAAGTACAACAGGCTCGCCACCAACAGGAGTTAATTTTGTTGGTTGTCAAAGTGGCCAACATAATGTTCTCAATGGTCATGGCGTAAACCGACATTTCTCCACAGAAGACACCAGTTGTTATCATCCAACAWCATTGCAAAACTGTCCACCAAATTCTCGGACGGATCCCATAGTTGGATTGGCTCAGTTAGCCGAGAAAGCAAACTTTTCAGGCGAACTTGACGACTTTGGCGACACGCGGTCTGGCTCGGATGCACGCAACAGTCTTCATCGAATACAACGCAGTTTTTCCTTCCCAAGYTCACCGAACTTAAGGAATTCCTTGATGGATAGTGGACGGCCAGGGTATGATAGTCTTCGAGAGGGATTTCAAGGTTCGTTTATGGACGATTCTATGAATAACAGCTTATATCCTGTTCCTGGCTCCACGATGTCGGACATATCTGGGTCTAGACATCACATCAGACAGCAACAACGTCAAAGTGCCTACATGTTCCCTGATCATGTATTGGAGCGTCCACATCCATCACCTGGCCGATATAGTCAATACAGTTATCCTGACGATAGGGATTTAAGGTCGTTTGACTACTACCAAACTCTAAGCAAAGAAAAATCGGGGGTTATCCCTAATGTAACTGTGTTCAACACTGATCCACAGTCAAAGTCAACACGATTTTATGCCCCCGTGAAGTCRAAATCTGAAGAAATCTTAAAGAAAACACTTTCCACTTTTGGKAGAATACTCTCYCCGACCGAGGGCGAAGAGGARCGAAGAGATGGGGAAAAGTGGSCCAGCACAAATGATAACAAGAAAGATAAACGATGTTCTAGTTCGAAAGGGTCAACGAATTGCGCGCCAGAGCAAAGTAACGAGAGACTGTGTGCTTGTAAGTGGATGGGCTGCGATGCTATTTACTCTGAGCAAGACGACCTGGTTCGACACATTGAGAAAGTCCACATTGATCAGCGTAAGGCTGATGATTTGTATATCTGTTATTGGGAACAATGCACAAGACAAACCAAGCCTTTCAACGCTCGTTATAAGCTGGTCATTCATATGAGAGTRCATTCTGGTGAAAAACCGAATAAGTGTACGGTGAGTATTTGTACCAACTAATAGCAGAACTTCACCTTAAGAGCATAGTCGAGCTGGTCCAATTGATTACAAAAGCATTGTTGAAAGGGGTTTTAGTGTGTACAAGGATGAATGCAACATTTTGTATTTTGTTCTTGTYCGTTGTAAACAATTAAGTTTATAGTGAAAAAACACACAGTATTATAAAAACAYCTCACAACACGTACACAAGTAAGGTTCATTTAAATCCCAAATACTTTAAGGAGTTTTTACAGSGTTATTTGATCACCAAAAGCGACCTAAAAAACGCGCTTGATTTCCATGCATATTATTTCAATTAGTAAAGATATTTTGAATAGTCTTTAGATGTTGTCTAGTTGCGTCAAGGTTAAGGTCTCTCATGAGGTTTTCGAAATCGAAAATTGTAGTATTATTATATTGTAAGCAAACCGAACAAAACCTGTTACAATAAACGCTTTGTCTACTCTTCCGAAAAAGTGATCCAAGCTTTGAAATCGATGGCAGATTTATTGTGCTTGTGGTCAGCAGTGGACAAATGCAAAAACACTCTCCGTTTGCCGACAGTTTTCAAAGCAAGCGAATCACGGAAGGTATATCACTAACATCACGCATGGTATAGATCCTATTGAATTGCTCACTTAAATCTCCAATATATGGTGAAGTCTCTGGTTGATTCCTATCAAAAAACWTGGCTATTTTCGAGGCAAATTCGGCCGCCATATAGTCGTCCATTTGTGTGATGTTGGTAATTTCGTGTTGGTGATCAGCGGGAGACCGACGGGTATTGTGTGCTATGCCTCGAGCCAAATAGAATAGAATTCAGAAAAGGTCTGCCAGATAGGAAAACCCGCATACTTGAAAATATCTAGTGTCTTAGAGCAGAACTCAATTTGTAATTTCAAGTTTTTAATTTCAAAAGACCGACATTTTTTGCACCGCAAATACAGTAATGGGAAACCAAAATCGGATTTATTGAGATGGGTTGAACAATCTTTTAGTTCGTCCGTTGGTCRAGTTTCGTTCTATCTTTCCTGATCAAAATTGAGAGAAACGCATTTTATCACCAAAGACTCGCCGCATTCCGATTGAGTTTTCTTAATGTGTTCAAAGGATTGATTCTTTCCTTCCTTCTTTAGAAGACTAGTACGATACCATTCGCCCACTCGCCACTTCCTTCTCACACAAAAGCATTGGGTTCCGTAACTCAGCCGACGAACCAGAAATTCACGCGATTTTGAATCCCGTCAAAAAACACGTTTAAATCAAAGCAAGGAATTCAAATTTCTCCAAATTGGCCAAGAATAGTCAGCTATAACCTGAAGGACCGGTTATAGGATAATAACACCAGACAAATTCCATCAATAGAAATGACTGTTTTGATGTACTTTTTGACCACAGAAGAGAGTCGGTCTTTTTTAAGAGCCAACATTTGCACACAATCAATAAAATTGTAGTCTTTTTTTCACGATATCTTTGTTTAATAATTAAATAGAAAACATAAGCAAATAAGGTGACAAAGGCGTTAGTAGTTTGCCTAACAGTTTAATGTAATGTATAGTGTTTTCGACCACGATATTTGTTCGTATTTGTACATCCAAGCGATTGTTAATTGACAGATGTACTGCTGAACAAACGACGGTTCCGACTCGTTTCAAAACACTTCCAAATTTAGCTTTTTCATTCGTAAAACCTACAGAAAACATACATTGCATGACTTGAGGTCATTTCCTTTTCACAATTTGTTGTTTTCTTAGCTCACAGGAACGATCTAGATTTATATAAATATATCAACCTATTTCTACTGATGAGGTCAGCTTTTGTTTAAGTTTTCAACAGTTTGCGTGATGGAAAGAGTAATTAACTCAAAATATAATACAAGAAACATTTAAAAGGAAAGATTTTTGTTACAAGAACGCCTGAATTATGCAAGAACAAATGGGTTATTGACAAKCGCAAGCTTTGAACCATATTACTATTAAATACACGTATGGACCAATTTAGCCGTTTTTGTCCTGCCTAAGTAGCAGTCGAGAGTCACTGACAAATAAAATCTTTATTTACTTCTTTGTTAGTCCATAAAAACTATCAGAATTGTAGCTCGCTTATGATAATTTCCAAAATACGCCTCACTATTTAGATAATTGAAGGAAAAATAWAACAAAATATTTTGATTCATTAATTCATTAGACCGTGAAAGGTATTAGGTTTAAACATCTTTTAGCAAACAAAATCAKTTGCTTKCTTCTTTTTCAGTTTTTAAAACTCAGAAAMGTGGYTGWTRTATGGCAATTTTTAAATATTATGTAATTGTTGAGAGTTTAAAACAAAATTTTGATTAATGTATTCGGCATTTGGTMAAAGATAAGAAATGAAGTTCAAAACAAGACGTTCAAACGTTGAAAACATTTTAAATTGCACGAATTCATTGTTAACAGAAAGCCTCTTTTTGTCAAATAAAGCGACAGTTTAATGGATGTAATGTTTTTCTACCTCACTAGAAAACAAAGCTTTGTCGTTTTATCAAGGAAAAAAWGCATGATAGATCCTAATCCTAACCSATTCAAACACACTTTGATTGAAAATTTTATAGAGCCCCTTTTCGCTAAATGATGATACGCGGATAGGGCGATATATATAATGGTTTGTAATAGCGGTCCTTGCGTAATTTCTGAGTTATATAACGACTTAAATTGCTCACTGTGAAGTCAGCTCCTCGGGCAACGATTAATTAAATATCGCTTAAAATGTAAATTTACTAAAAATATCCGTTTTTTGTAAAAATTAACGCGACATTTTGTAATGTTTCTAGAATACGATTAATGCTGGAAGTTGAATGGGAAGTGGCTGAAAAAATAATGACTGGATGTTTTGATATAGATAGTGATAATAACAATGATAATGATAATAAATTTAATGAAATATAAWGAAATAGTGTTAAAAATGCTAATAATCTTAATTACATGAATCACATGTAATAATAATAATAAAACGATAAAATTAAAGGATAAATAACATTTTTATAATAATGTTTGTATATCACATGACCGTTTAGTAAAAACGTTTAAAAAACGTTTACAAAAATGTTATTTAGCTTTTTAGTTTTAAGGATGTATTTAGGATATTGTCACAATAACAATGCTAATCATCATCATAAATAATCAGAGTRCTAAATGACAAGTATAACGACATGCTAATGAGGCCAAAAAAATCTATCGACATCTGCTAACAGACTGGCTGACTGTTTGTTCTGTTGTGTCACAATCATTTTAAGTTCTCACGAGTAACAGCCATCCATTCAAAGTTCAATATTTCTTTTGCTGAATGTCCTTGACCTCTGAACTCACACTTTCTCATACAACACGTAGCACACATCTCATTTATAATAAAAACTAAACAAAAGAATATAAATATGACATACATTGTTATTCCGTCACAGCATCCAGGTTGTAACAAGGCCTTTTCAAGACTTGAGAACTTGAAAATCCACATGCGATCTCACACTGGAGAAAAGCCGTACATATGTCAATTTCCAGGCTGTCCAAAAGCATTTTCAAACTCCTCAGATAGAGCTAAACATCAAAGAACACATTTGGATACGGTAAGTCTATTATTAATCATTATTAATTATTATTAATTCATTTTGTCTTTGTTTTAAAGACATTTAGGTGAGATCAGGTTTAGTTTCTCAGACAAATAAGTTTATTCGAGTTTTTTTTTGTGACAAATCTTTATATTTTTTTATTCAAATTTATTACATGTTATAAATCAATTCTCAAGTTAAGTTCATAATTTTGATAAAAAATTGGGAAAAAATAATATTAATGTATTTGAAAAAAGTATATAAAAAGTAACCTATTATTATTATTATTTTAATAATAAAAAGTTAAAAAAAGTTAAAAGTTTATTATAATAATGATAACGATGAAGAAAGCTATTCTTATTCTTCTTATTATAATTATTATGAAAATATTTCCATCTTATTAAAACGAAATAAGATTTTATGAATGTAGATATAGATGTGGCAAATGCACAGAGCTGTCTATAAATTTATAATCAATATTATTATTTATTTCCTTTTTTCATGCATATTTACTCTTACCTATAGATTTACAGCTGTTTGCAATAATTCTGACCCCCTCTGCCATATTTCATATATATCAAACTGACCTTTAATATTATGGGATATCATATTTTTTGAGTTGTCCAGAAAAATATCAGCATTGGTATCCCATAATTTCTAAGGCTATTTTGATATATATGAATATTAGTATAGGGGGGTCAGAATTATTGCGAAGGGCTGTATAATTGTAATTTTTTAAGAAATTATATTGTATGTGCTAAAAACTATTATCATGTACCAGATCATACCAGACTCTGTTTTTCATATTTTATGAATACATTTACTCTATCTTTTAGTAAATGTTTGTAAATTATAATTTAATATTACATATAGTTTTTTTTGAGAAATAAAGATTACTAGATTATTGAAAAATTTATTAAAAATAAAAAAAAAGTTTTTATGACCCCAGGATATTTTAAGAAACAATAAGCAAGTGAATTCATATTAAATATCATCAYTTACTAAATATCATAATATTTACCTTTTAATTTGCCTTTGCAAAATAATTTCCTTTCTTTTCTTGGAAGCCTACAAAAATAAATCCCTCAATACAACAAACAAATATTTAAATTACAAAAACCGAAAAAATTTGCAATTAAAATTATAGTATCTTTTAAGAGCTTGAAATGTCATTTCCTAATCCACTGGGCATTTTAATGACCACAACGTTTGAATTCCTGTGTTGCTAACAATGAAGAATGCCATTTAAAGACAAAAAAGTTTGTATTTCAATCATTTTGATTGACTGTCTTACACACAAATGCTTGATTCTTTAAAATACTTTCTTATCGGTATTTCATGGTCAGTTTTAATCACTATTTAATGTTCTTGGTTCAAAATGTCCAATATCAAACATCCAATAGGTTATTATCATTAAGAGTGGAATTAATTGACCATACAAAAGGAACACAAATACGGCAGATGACTGTCAATAAAACATGTCAAGAAGATGTCAATATTTACTGACAGATGACAGTTCTTTGTAAATGTTAATAGTACTGTGAGGGTAGTTTATTGAAGTGTAGTGAGATTGTGTCTAGTCTTTGTCAGCATTATGGTTTTAAACCAGACGGATCCACTTGATTCTTTCAAAATTTAATGAATGGTTTAGTATAGGAGATGAAAAAACATATCAAATATCTTCTCTTCACACTTAAAGGAATRGTTTCACCCAAACCACAAAACTAAACCTTAGTAATACTTCATTTAAAACAGAGCAAAGTAACCAGACAAGGTCCACTACTATCTAAATTAAAGTACTAACTATTTCATGATTTAAATTTTATTGTAAACTTTATGTAAGCCACATTGTGTTATTCATGTGCCAAACAGAAGACGATTGGCTGTTAGAACAAAGYGACKTGTGAAAAGCCATTCTGATCATGGTTGSCACATTAACATAAGAATGAGTTTGTTGATAAACATTGAGTATTGCTAATATACATTATGGAAATGTTTACTTTGCCAAAATAATCTACAGTCTTCTTCTTCTTATTATTATTTAGGAGCTATTTTTATCATAATAATCTTCTCAAAAAGTTCAACATYATTTCATAATTCATAACATCATATCCATATTTTTCTCTTTGACCTCATAACTTTTTTCTCTTTATTCTCATTCATCTTGTTTTTTATTCTCAGAAACCTTACGCGTGTCAGGTTCCTGGATGCCCCAAAAGATATACGGATCCAAGTTCCTTACGAAAGCATTTCAAGCAACATGCAAGTGGCAAAATGCCTCACACCAAYGCTGGAAATAAGGTAAACTACAGCTTTATAACTTATATAGAACATGAACTCTGATTGGCTGAGAAATAATAAGTTGTCMAATAAGAATGATAATCTCTGTTGCATTTCTTTTGAGTATCAGGATCCCTGTGCTTCCTCCACACAGGAATCCTGGCAAAGAAATACAAGGAGAAGTGTGCTATGGAACTGATTATAGTATGGGAATTCATGATGTAATTAAGGATTGATTAAGCTATATTTTAAAGATTGTCTTCATTCTAGAACAAGCAAAAGCTTCGAGGATCTAAGTCATCCAAAAGAGAGTTACTTGGAGAAGGTGTTACTAGGCCATTAGTAGACTTGGGTGTTCCCGAAGAGTACACCAAAAGCCATACCCCACTAGAAACACTTCACAAGATGGACCCAAGATTAGCATTGATAGAAAACAACAACTACCAAGTTATGCAAACAGAAATGTCAAATTCATGGGACAGTTCTGAGGCGACATATCCTTATGGTGTMAATCAACCTCCTGTTGCCAGGGCAACCACACCTACAATGATGGCTGAGCCACCGGAGCAGTATTATACCCAAGTWCTTAGCACTATGGACATTCCTACATTTGAAGACACTTTGAAACCTCTATCATCAGCAGTTATGAGATAATATTAATGATCTATTAATTTACGTCAATGTAACCTTGTAAAGTGTACATAGACCCTCATCATACAATCTTACTAAAGCGTATTTTGTTTATAATATAATGCCATACAGATTAATACTTGACTACTAGGGGCTTTAAGTGTCCAGTAATACTATGTTGTAGTGAGCAGAGATAGGTATGCACATGTTTTGACTAGCAATTTTATAGAAATTTTAATTGTTTAGTGATGTGCTGCCTCCAGGGTCTTATTGTATGAAGAGCAAATCGTGTTATTTACAGGATAAATCGTTATCCAGCAGATTAAATACATGAAAAGTGGACACCTTTATCTTCATACAATAAATTGGACCCTGTTTGTGCCATGAATGTTACTGGTCATGACATGATCTTTCAAATAGTTCCCAAATCACTGATAGGCTCAGAAATTCACAATAATTGTGAGTTTTTGAGGCTTAAACAAAGTTTAAGGTAATTAATACCCAAAATTATCAGATAGCAGGAATCACTTAAGCCTTAGACATTGAGTCAAGTAGCTAGGGAAAACTATGATTGGATGCTACTAATATTATTCTGACTTAAAAACAAAAACACTGTGATTATTGTACAATAAATGTTTTGGTTGTTAATGCTTTGCTGATTAAACTGTTACTGTTGAATGAATTAATGAGAATAAACAAAAAGTATAATTTTATGATTCTAAAATAATTTAACCCTCAAACTTATAACATAAGACTAACTCTATTGAATGGAGTACATTACGTGTTACTTATGGTCTAATAAGGTGGTGGAATAAAGACTATATTTGCCTTTGATACCATGCATTACTAATCCTTATAGACACAGATTACAACTGCGAGACGTGGATGATCATGGATTACTTTGACCACTTGTTTTACACAAGACTGAAGATTTCAACTGGGAATATTTTTAACACTATATTTGAATTTGTGCACAATTTAATCACTAACACTGATGCAGAATTACAATTAACAAATATGGAATAGGCTATTAGTTTGACATTTAAGATATTATAATCATCATGACAAACAGTTGCCGTGGTATCATATAAAGACATAGAAAACCATCCATATCATATATAAATCAGTAAAGCTTTGTATTCTATTTGTTTCATGTAAATAAGAAGCGTAAATATTTACTTTTTGACCACTAAGGTTGCCAAACTTTAGCATGAATTACATTACTAGTTTATTTTCAAGGTTGCTGGTTGAAAACACTCTGACATATCTGTATACTGAATACATATTCGCATTAAAAACAGACATTGACTACAACAATTTGCAATCATTTCTTGACTTAAAAAAAAGATCTTTAAGATACGCCAAAATAATATAATCAAAGTATCAACTTACTCTCAATTTCCCAACATTCAAATTGCGCTKTGAAAAGTGGGATGGCGCAAACCTACACAAATAAACTAAACTATTACTCACAAGTCGACAACTCTTTAGCTTGTATGGCAATAAAACTTACCTCTGATGATTCATCTCCATAAATTAACAATTTAGTGATCAAAAGACTGCAAAAATCTTTGTAATTTTTCATCCCATGCAACGTTGAAGCGTTTGAAGCGTGTGGTTACCAGGCTGCTGTCGCTGTGAATTTATACAGAAACCCCAAAACATTATCAAAAAAAGTTCGGAAAAATTCCCTACATACTTATTCTACTTAAAACACACCATAATAAACCAGAAATATAAAGCGGATAAAGTAGCTTTATGATTTGAAATATCAATAAACAATGCAATTTTAGATTRAAAATGATACTTGAATTGGGGTTCCTGTTTTTTGTTATTGTCACGTGAACAAAGTTGGCGGGAAAATCAACRTTTCAACCTACAATCGACAGAAAGAACACTTTCTTTTTTGACAAATACTATAGTACTAGTATTGTCTTATGAAGTCTTACAAGCAACAGATTCATGTATTTTAGCAATAGAAATAATCCTATACGAAGGAGTAGAGAATTATGCAGCCAAGATGATGAAATTGGACTCATTTATACAAGAGACAAGTTCGGTTGTCTGAAAACACCAAGAGGTTACAACTTGACATTCGGTGACAAAAGCTATCTTAAAGAAATTGAACCAATAGGTTAGYAATCATTTGAGTATGCATTCTTGATCGTAGTCTTATGTTGCCTTTGCTGCTTATAATCGTGTGGATGTAGTTGTAAAAATCACAATTCTTGACATGCAAGTTTCGTTATATCACCGCCATGTTGGATGAAGATCACCAAGCATTCCTCATTTTCTTCCTCATTAGCTTCTCTTGCTCATTCATCCAACATGGCGGCGATAGCTTTGTTCTTTTTTTCTCAGAAAATTCCTGGTCAAGAGGATGCACATCAGTAATGATATTGTTTTCACGCTTTTCATTATTTCTAAATTATTTCTTCTTAGCTGCWAGTTGCTCCACGGAAGACCCCGATGGCACTCTCTCTCCATGTTCACTGTACTCGATTTCACTYGACTTTGTGGCCAAAAACATCTCAATGGTAGAATCTCTGTATGGGTTTCCTGATATTGTAGGAAAAGATCTYTTTGACAGGATACATGCAAACAAAGGATTTGCTCATTCTTGGAGTGACAACTTTCAGTTATTCATAGATGCCTATGGAAGTCTTGTTTTAGACAAGTTGAGCTTAAATGGACAAAGACTTGCCGTCAGTGAAATAGAGTATTTGAAGAGCTTTTCTTGTTTATCTGAGCTGGATTTGAGTCACTGTCGCATGGGAAGTAACCACGAAGTACTGTTGCATGTATCAAAAATGTCGAGGTATAGGATTGCAGAAGTGTTTTAAAATACATAATTCTATAAAGTTAAAAACATCTTGAATGTACGTAAACACTGATGGATTGATTCTATTATTTAAACAGTTTAACAAACCTGAGTTTAAAGGATAACTGCCTGAATGTGGATGATATCAAACTCTTTACACTTCCTCTTCGTGTGACAAGAGTTGGGCCATCAAACTTGAAATTACTGGACTTATCTCTTAACCCTGGTATATCCCATCATGCAATGAGGTACCTGACTTGTTTTCAATCTCTTGTTGGTGTGAACCTCACTGGGACAAGTGTATCAGTTACCGACATAGAGAAGTCTTCAAGGGTGAATCRACTGGTGTCAAATCCAAAGGTATATAGCAGTCACTAATAGACTGCTAAACCTTTTACGTCACTACTTGATTTTCAATGCATTGTGGGATCAGTTTCAAGAGAAAACAAAAGAAATCCACCATGTTCTGTCCCAAACATGTCCTACAATGCTTTGAACATACGGTGCATGATGTAAAAGCTTCAGAGGTCTATTTCATTGTTTTCTTTTATGTTCATTACACCTGGACTATTGGATTTTGTTTCACTCAAGTCATGGAACAAGTCATTGTTAACAAGTTCCTTACTTTTAAAGTTTACAGGTTTCAATGATTATAACAAGATACAAACTGAAGGATGGGCTTCCTGTGTTATYGAAGACTGGCTTTTTAAGTTGAACACTGCAAAGAAACGACCAAGAAAGAGTRGTGCGAACAGCAAAGCTCAGTCATTTTATACTCAAGGGAAGAAATTAAATTTACTACAAGAAAAGAACTCTGAACAACCCAYAATCRCYGTAMAGAAATTGCCTWTATTAATTCTAACAAAACCTGAARGATCACAAATTAAAGCTGTTTTAAACRGAAAATGCAAAAGTGAACAGATGAATGAGCARCATGAATGSAAGAAAGGGAAATGTGAACTGGATAATGGGAAGAAAAATAATGAATCAGCAAGACTCAAGAGAAAACARCATTGGGATGATGATGCTTTCATAGACAATGAAATACTTCAGTTTTACATGAATAACACTAGAACAGTGACAGAGAACAAAAAACCAAGACTGTCTCTAAATGACTTCCTGAAATGATTATGTCCAGTTTGTATTTCTTGAGTTACTGTAAAAAGTCACTTTCTAGCACTAGTTAATTGGATATACTATGATACAAAGCAGTGGAACATTGCACACAAAAAATGGAAAATTTTTTGTAAGAACTGGGGTTCCTGTGTATGCTTTTCTATTGCCATGRAAATGAATTTGGTGGCAATCTTGAGTTAAAAATAGAAATCTGATCAAACAACAAAATAAACCAAATTTAGATTACTTTATTCGAAAAAAAAAGTAATTTTAAGGTACTAATTGTAGTATTTTCCTATCAATGTTAGTAGTTACAATAAAATAGCTTATTTAGAATCAAGTTAAACACTTGATATATATTGATAATCTGACCCTAAATTCTTATGTTTTGTTTTAACTATACAATATAAGGAATATTTTGGATATTGTGGTGGTTGGAGGGTCTTCAAACTAATAGAAATTATASCTGACGAGAGACCACAAACCCATCGAGTTCAGGCAAAAAATTGCAAGTAACCTCAAATGTTATCAGTAAAGATTCATCATGGCCTAGCTCATAAAATCCATACAGTCCTACTCATYCCACCCTTGAAGAGTTTTAAGAGCGCTGTTCAACTAGAAAGACATAGCTCTTTCATAACTTTAATTCTTTGATTCTTATGAAATTAGACTACATTTTCAAGTTCAATTAAAGTACAATGTATTTACATGTAGAAATAACTTGTGAGTGACATGGCTGCACTCATAAATGACTATCACTAGTAGTAAACAAAACCTTCTAATCTATATATATTAAGCCTTTTACCAAATGAACTCAAACCTTCCCATGATTCTTTGAAAGTGGAACCTAAATGTTTTTTTTACATGCATTGAAAATTGCATAAAAATATACTTCTTTTTATCTTTTATTTCAATAAAATATTTAAGTAATTCCTAGCTAAAGTATTGATAATTATTGCTAGTGATATTCACTAATAGAATAAGATATGAAATACATATTTTATCTCTCCCAAGGTTTGGCTTGCACACGATAAAACTTTGTACCAGCAGGGACATGGAAYCTGTTGTGTGCCTAGAATTGAGATTTGATAAAATAAATTAATAATTTATTAAAATATCAATAAATAAGATATTTTGTTAAAAGAATTCATGTTTTTTCTTTAACCTTTTTAGCTTGGCAATACTCCTTGTCAGTTAGGTAAGCAAGCACCCAGTCTCTTCTCTTAGCTCCACCTAAAATAGATATCTTTAGTATAAATGACAATGTGAATTCAGTGAACTCTGGATAGATTTAACATACTTGTAGCCAGGTCTAGGACAGTCATAGAGTCAGGATGTAAGAAATACAASGTGGTACCAGTGGTAAAGATAAGATAGTTCTCATATCTTGGGTCGTAGACCAGTAAAATGAGGTCATTACACTGGAAACTGAAAAGAAATAACAACCAATGATTAAGTAATATTAGTTGAATATTAATATAAGTTAATGTGGAATGGAGGGTCACGAGTATCGCGTGTCATATCGCATGTCTTCGTCGTAGTGAGCGGTACTCTTGAAATTTGCTCTTAAATTTTATTCAAGTATCATTATCGATAATGTCTGGAAAAAAGTCTCGAAATACAACGTGTCCGGGATAACTAATGATTTATGCTGTCTTTCATCACAAGTATGTATAAACTGTACAACTGTCATGCTGAAATAACCAGTTAAATTATTACCCATTGTTTTTTAATCTAAAACCTTGGCAAAGTTATATCAGTTAAAATATTGATTGTCAGGGCAGAAATTACGAGGAGCAGGTTAGAAATGATGGACAAAATGTGATAACTGACTTGACTGGTTTTCAAAAGACTKTACAATTTAAAATAACCGTCTCTGTGCAGTTGTGAATAAGAGTTTGCTGAAGTATGTATTGACTAGATCATGATAACTATTCAAATAATTCTTAAAGGATATGTGTGCCAATTTATCGTAAAGTGTTTTTTAAAAGAAAATATTATAAACTCACTCTTTTAGTGTGACTTTTTCAGGTTTCAATGCCTCTGCACCAGCTGTAACTTGCTGTACCTGTAAGAAAAACACAAAATTAACAAAAGGATTTTCACTTAACTGTACAAAATAACTGGCGATTTGTGTCAGCACAACCAAACCACATGCTTTACTTCATGACGACCTTTCATTGCAAGGGTCCTAGCTAGGTGGGGTAAATGAACCAGTTCTATTTCAAATATGAAAATGAGGATTATCTGTGGATAATCTGGATTAATTTGATTAAGAAGATGTTTAAGGATTAGCCTTTTGTAATCTTGTAAACACACTCTTAATATTTTACCCTCTGGAGGTAAGGTTGCAATAAGATATGACAACTTTATAATTATGTGTATATTAATGACTAAAGAAGGYTCCTTTTCCATTTTTGTTGTAATTTACTTCAAGGACCATGGTAAACAAACATTCCTTACAAGGTTTGTCTTTATACTTTAACAGAAAGATACAATAATATTGCTCTCTGTTAACCCTCTATGAATTATTTTACAATTCAATCTTAAAACTGATTAAAACCAAATAACAAATTGCCATCTTAGTCAACTCATTTTCCAAACATGAAAAATCTGAAACACAACTGCACTGAACACTTGTGGACCATTGACCTTCAATAAACATATTACAAAAAGACTGAACTTAGAGCTTGAAATTAGTGTTACATCATAATATACAAAATGATTAAAAAATACATTATAAATTTGTGCAATGTWGTTATATTAATGATTAATGTTATATAAGGACTGTATTCTAGATATAGAGGATATTACATGGGGAAGCGGAGAAAAGGATTTTATCTTTGAGTGTTGAAAAGACCTCTCACTTAGAGCGTAGCAAGGGTAGTGTATTTCATGAACAAAAGGAAATAAATAAGAAAATAAAACAARCAAACAGCTTTAAACTAACCAGTTGTTTTTTCAAAGATTTAATTTGTTCTTCTTTACTTACTAAGGCCTGAAAGGAAGATAAAAAGGTTCAAACAAAATCCTGAATAATATAAAAACCTAGATTTTTTTAGATTTTATGTTCTAAAAAAAACTACCTTAAATTCCTTTAAAATTGCAATTTAAACAAATCTTTAGCAGCAAAATCAACTGACAAATAGTTGTATCAGTGACTAAACATCACAAATACAGAAATAACAGACTGACCTGCTTAGCTTGGTGTAGTATCGGGTTAATGTCACCTTGTTGGAATTGATGTAGTGCTTGGCTWATAGCTTCTGATAGTAATACATTCAAGACAAGAATAACACTATATTCAACCCCTCTTACACTTATAATGTAGTTATTATTAAACAATATTGAAAGGAAATTATTGTTTATCCATAATTAGAGCGTGTAATGTTAGAAAACATGAAGAATGATATTTTTGGCAATTCTAAGTGCACTCTATTAA